GACAAGGATTACATCCTGCTATGAATCTGGTGAGTTGAACATGGGATAAATTACAGAATTTTCTTTCTGCACAAAGCAATTTTTCCCAAACTTAGCTTTTATTAATGTTCATACTCTTCTTATTTTCTGTTCATTTAATGGTAAATTACCAGGTTATCTGAAAGCAATAATAAACTAACTTCTCTTTTGATTCTTCTTAAGGCAATTTATTTTAAATTACAGTTGGAAAATAAATGGAAAAGAATGCCCCTCTGCCTCTCTGAAGTACTTCTTATGTTATTGCTTTCCCTCTTATCATTCCCCCCATCAAAACAGTGTCCCCGTCTTTCCATTAACCCTCATCACTTTAACAGCATCCCCTTTATTTCTATGAATGCAGTGGGCACCAACTACAGTGAGATGTCAGTGAACAACAGAAACATTAAGCCTTTAACCCACTATGTTAGAAAAGTCACTTACTGTCAAAAATATGATACATTTCAAATTGGAAGGCAGCCCTCTCGAACTCTACAACCCCTTACCTGCTCAGGCTCCTGCTTGAATTTAGAATCAGCATCACAACTGGGATGTACCTGATTCTGATATATAACAAGCCAAACTCTCAAAAAGAGATTAAAGATATGAGAAGGCGTGTGTACACCACAATCAAACAACTATTTCACAAAGCTGTTGAGCAGAGAGAATTGACTTTTTTAAAAAGAGGCCTGTGGACATCCAGGTAGGGCTTCTGTAGGTACCCACCTGTGCCAGGGATACTGCAGGATCAGGATGAAAGGTTAATGAAAGTAATTTTCCTAAGAAGGATCCATTGATGTTAACCAATATATTAAGGAGAATATCCACTTGTCAGTCTGTGGCTAGAAACCTAGCAGCCTAGCACGTGTCTACTGATCAGCTCCTCTCTCCAACAAGAATATCTACATTGGGAAACAACAGCTACAACGAGAACATTCACAGTGAACATACAGTCAGTGCAACGGGAAGTAGGTGTATTGGATGATCACTGGGGCACAAGAATCATCAGTCTGCGATGATCTCCACTATGAGAAACACCCACAAAGTCAACTAGTGAATGATCTCTTTCTGTGGGATCTCAGCTAAAGGAAAATCTGAGTACTTCTTGACCATTAGAATTAATTTTGTTAATTGAGCTTTAATTTACAAACAATGAATTGTATTTATTTTAAGTGTACAGCTTGATATGTTTTGATAACTTTATAAGCCCACATAAATGCCACTTTAATCAAGAGAACTATTCCACTATATATGAAATAGATAAACAAGGACCTACTATATAGAAGTATATTCAATATCTTATAATAACCTATAATAGAAAAGAATCTGACAGCATTTCTATACATACACACACATGCACACACGTATATATAACTGAATCACTTTGCTGTACACCTGAAACATTGTAAATCAACTATACTTCAATTAAAAAAAATAAAAAATAACAATTCCATCATTGCTAGAAGTTTTCTCATACCCTTTCCAGTTTATTGTCTGTCCTTCCCACACAGAGGCAACCATTATTCTGATTTCTGTCACCACAGATTTGCTTTGCCAGGCCTTGAACTTCACATATATAGAATCATACTTATGTCTTCTTTGTGTCTGACTTCTTTTGATCAACTTAATGTTTTCGAGATTCATCCAGTGCATTGCTTTTATCAGTAGTTTATTTCCTTTTACTGCTAAATAATATTCTATTTTATGGACATATATCACAATTTGTTTATCTATTTTCCTGTTGATGAATATTGGCTTTGATACCAATATTTGGTTAGTATGAATAAAGCTTCTAAGAATATTCTTGTACAGGTCTTTTTGTAGACAAATGATTTTGTTCCTCTTGAATAATTCTTAGGAACAGAATTGCTGGATCATAGTAGAAGTGTATATTTAACTTTATAAGCAACTGTCAGTTTTCCAAAATAGTTGTACAATTTTACACTCCTACCAGCCATGTATGAGAGTTTCAGTAGTCCCTTATCTTTGCCAATATTTGGCATTATCAGTCATTTTAATTTTAGCCATTCCAGTGGGTATATTATGGTATCTTACTGTGCTTATAATTTTCATTTCTGTGATGACTACTGACGTAGAGCCCATTTTAAGGTGATTATTGGCCATTCCTATATCTTCTTTTAAGAAGTATCCAAGTCCTTTGCCCATTGTTTATTCGGTTGATTTCTTTCTCACTACTGAGTTGTAGCAATTGTCAGACATATGTATTGTGGTGGTTTCTCCCAGTCTATGGCTTGCCTTTTTATTTTACTACCAATTTTTGTTTTAACAAGAATGACAATAATATTTTAATTTCTATGAAGATCCTGTTTACTACTTTTTTATTTTATAGGTAGTGTTTTTTGTGTCCTATGTGTGTCCTTTTATTTTTTAATAAACTTATATCACAAGACTATTCCCAGTTTATTAAAATATGATTGTTAATAGCTACATAGTAGTTCAGCAAAAAAAGCATTTTGTGGAAATATCAGTCATTTCAATTTTTCATCAATATAAATAATACAATTATATTTTTTCACAGATTTCTCTGCATGCATCTCTGATTATTTGCTTTAGACAAAATGCTATTATTGTAGATAGTGGATCAAAGGGTACATATTTTGATACCTATTGCTAAATTGGGTTTACCAATTTGTACTCCTACCAGCAGTATAGAAGAGTGCTTACTCTCAAGTTTCAAATATATGAAAATAAACATATATTTAAAATATATTTTTATATTTCTTTTATGAATCAATTTTGCCTGTCTTTTGAACATTTGGCTGGGGAGGGAGATTCACTAACATTATTAACCTTTCGATTTTCCTATATTGTAATTTTTTAGATTCATCATTGATACCGACTTGAAGAGTTTTAAGTTTTTGTGTACACAGGGATATCAGAATTTTCCTTTATGTTTTCTGTATTAGAGTCTTTTAAAAGACATTTCCCAGAATGAAATCAGGTATACTTATTAATACGAGTGGGTCTCTTACTACCAATGGTCAATGATGTCACCAAAGTAATGTAAAAACAGATACATACATTGATTCAACAGGAAACAACTCATATGCACTGAAACCCTTTCCAGTCACTTTACTGGATAGCTCCAATGAGACTCTCACCTGCAATGCCTGACTTCCCAAATCAATGGGGGCCATATTAGGTTCTCACAGAGCTATCTCCCTGTACTCTGTGTTGGTCACTTGACTGCTCCCAGGCTTCTGTGAATGCCCTAGCTCTATTTCTCCCCCTGAAAACATCCTCACACTCTATGAGTAGTTTACTCAAGTCCTCTACTCATTCAGCTTGAAGTGAGCAGAAGTACAGCTTCAATAACCCTCTCTGTTATGGACTGAATTGTGTCCCCCCCCCTAGAATTCATGATTTGAGGCCATAACCCCCAATTTGATGATATTTGGAGACAGAGCCTCTGGGAAGGTAGTTAAACTTAAATGAGGTCATAAAGGTAGGGCCTGAATCCAATAAGCTTGGTGAAGACGAAGAAACGCAGACAGCTCTCCATATTCACAGAGAGGAAAGGCCATGTGAAAACACAGCAAGAAGGCAGCGATCTACAAGCCAGGAAGAGAGACATCACCAAAAACCAAACCTGCCGGCACCTTTATCCTGGACCTTTAGCCTCCAGAACCGTGAGAAAATAAATTCCTGCTGTTTAAGCCACGCAGTCTGTGGTATATTGTTATGACAGCACTAGAAGACAAATACACTCTCCAATACAATCTTCTCTCTAAGAGTACTCTTATTTCTTCTTATATACTCTTGATGTGGGTAATGGACTCAGAGTCACCAGATTTGTTTTGAATATCAATCATCTGAAGTTCTTCATAGATGATCCACAACCTTTCTTTAGAATACATCGTCCCTGAACACTCTTTGTCCTCAGTTTCAGAATTACAATTATGAAACTCATGAAAAAAATAGTACTTAGCCTCCTACACTATCTCAATTCGATTCTTGGACTAATCAAAATTCACCCCTGGTGCTGAGAAGGGCCAGTCTTTTCAAAAGCCCTTGGCCACCAATATTGGATCAAAATGAGAGTCTGTTAGCAAGGAAGAAGGATGGGAATGATGTTGGGTAGGCAGCCAGGAGTGCCCACAACAAGGAAGGTATTTACAGGTGGCTTTAAAAGATAAATTTCCTCTGATCAAACTGAGCTAAAATACAGAACTCTGAAGCCAATTCTTAATCATATGTAATAGTCAAACTGTAAATAGCCTTAGTCATGTTTAGAATCAGCTTTTTGTGCACAGACATAGAAAGAAGATTGATATTCTATGCACCTCTTCCTATCTTTTGGACTTCTGCTTTTTTCCCTTTAAATTCTCTTAACACTCCACAGCTTAAGAGGGAGAAGGAAAATGAAAAGGGAGAAGCTTCTGACAAGTCTGTAGTGCCTTTGAAACGCCCATTCTCATCTATTAGAGATCATAAGAAGCAAGAAGCCACTTTCTAAGTAGCACAAGCAAGAGTAAAGCAACATCTTCTTATGAGAAGTCAGGAGGAGAAAAGAGAAGAGGAAGCCAGGAAGTCAAGCATGATGGGTATCCCCTTCTGCCCTTCTAGGCATACTCTCCACCCACTCTACCCTGCCTTTTTTCCCAGCAAGCTGAACTCTACAGATGGTACCACCTGGGCCCCTTGCCCTCTGGCTTCCACATTGGTTTGCTAATGTTTGGCACTGGTAGGAGATGGAGGGTGGGAGAAGGGAGAGGTAAGGGAATTTACCCCCCTGCATCCCTCCCTGGTGATGCTTGGCTGTGGCTATGTTCTTGTCCCCAAGGTGGCAACTCCTATCACATGGACTCCCTCCCCTGACTGCAACTCTCCCCACCTTTTCATAGCTACCACCTCCTTTTGTCCATTCAGGTGCAGGTGTAGCATGCTTCACCAAACAATGCTTCACCATTCTTTGTCAGTTCCCTTAAGCCTACTGACACCATTGCAAATTGCCCCTTTGTTAAGCTGCTTTTTTACTTACCACTTTGAACTTGCCATGGGTTTGCTGCATGGACTCTGACACCTCAGATCACAAGTTCAGAAGAAGCATGTATCTGAGGCAAAGTAGATGAAAATCCTGAAATGCAAGGCAAAAAATAAATCAAGTTACCAGCAATCTGAGCGCCAGACTAAAAACCTGATTCTGATACAAGATTGCATTAAATAAGGAAACTCTACTCTGCTTATTCTAAGACAAACTGAAGCCAACAAACTGATGGGAGAGAAAGGTAGTAAACTGTGACAAAAACACCGGTAGAAGGGATTGGTCACAGGGTCAGAGACGGAGTGCAGAAAAACTGACCTCCACTGATCTACAGACCACCTCTCACTCTTCTTTCTTCCAAGTCTTCCAGTCTCTATCCCCAGATTTTCTCCCATTGTATAATTTTATATCCATTCTTCTTAAGCCTTCAACTATCACTTCCAGACAGAATAATGCAAAAGGCTTTTTCTAACCTAAACTTTACTCTTCAGTTACAGCCCTAACTGCTTGGATATCCCCTGCCACTCAAAATTAACTCATCCCAAATTTATCATATCTTCATCCTCTCACAGTAACTGGCCATTCCTCTTGACCTGCCTTTATAGTGGTGGCATCAACTGTCTCCCGTTCCACCATGCTCACGAGTTCAGGCATCTTTTTACTACCTTCTCCCACAAACCCCAGGTCTAAGTCTGTTGCCACACAGAAAATCCAGATGGCGAATCACTGTATATATTCTCCTGTGGGTTTCAGTCTTCCTCTCCAGCCTCGTCTCTCGCCTCTTCTCTTCATTATTGTCATCCTATTCTCATACTATAATGCATGCCTTGCCTCTACATTATTTACTCTAATAGAAAAACCTTTGCCAAATAATCCTATCTGACACATGGCAAGTGCACTTCCTTCAAAAACTCTTCCCTCTTTTCTTTCCCCAGCCAAATGTCCTCCTCTTCTGAATATTTGACTTACACAACTCTTATAGACTTGTTCTCTAGTATGTATTACAATCATGTACTATGCATTATAATCATGTACTACTGTTATGTATTATATTATTTTGTATAATAACTATTTAATATAATAATGTATTATGTATTATACTCCTGATTTTAAAATACAGAAATATTTTCTGTGCTAAATTTCAATTGCTTGAAAGTAGGAAAGGTCCTATTTGCTTTATCCTCTGCAGCATCTATCTTCAATAAATAATGTCTGAACTGCATTGTGTTGCATTGAGTTTTCTGATATGCATATCAAATTTTCAGGAAAATTATTTCTAAAATTAAACAAAGACTATCAAAAATCCAAAAGCCGTGCCGTATATACCTCCTATATCTTGGCACAATTTTCATTTTTTAAAACATTAGAAAATAATTAAAGAAAACTAGATTAATTTCACAAACAATATTTAACTTAGAAATGTTAACCCAGTCCCTGTAACAGTGACAAATTTGTGTCTATAGTTCACCTTAAGGGATTTGGTAACAATACATTTTTCTCTCCCAGACAAATTAAGTTATTCTAGACAAGCATGCAGTACTTTTTTAGCAAAATGTAGCCGCTTGTGCCTGCATTGCAATTTTACTAATTGGCACATATATGACGTAGAGACTGAAAAACGAATGTTGTTTTGCAAGGAGGTTTTCTGTTTTCACAAAAACACCCACTCTTGCTGATAATGAATAATTTGGACCTAAAAGTTTCCCCCAGAAAACTTTGAAAAAATCCTTTAGTTTGATCAATCTTCCTCCATGTTTTTCTGGTTATTTGGGAAAGCTGCATGAAAATATGTTCTTTGATTTAGCTATTCATTTTCTTAATAACCATAACTGAGTATTAGCATTATAATTTCTTGAATAATGTTCATCAGATTCTCCTCTAATGACATCAATGCCTGTTTTCTTTTTTTCCTGAAGCTCTCACTCCCCAAGGACCATTCTCCATCGTGATATTGTTTGTAACCATATGCAGTGGACCTCTTTGTTTGCTTTTCAGTTTTGCTTTGTTCGCCTATCTTCTTCATAGCCCATTCTTTTGTTTTCTTTTGGGGAAATTCCCTTCCCCACACCCTCAGTCCTTGTGGTCTGGGTTCGTGGAGCTGACTCTACCCTAAGCACCAAAAATGGGCACGTTCCGGCCGGAGAAGTCAGATCATTTTATCTCCTGACTACGGTGCTTAGTTCACAAAGGAATAATGAATCAAGTTGAATTCACAAGAATCAGGCCAGGGACTGGTGGGAATCCTTAGAAAAGGTACTCTCTTTCCATTTGGGTTGCTAAACAGGAAGGATATAGCTTAGACATTTCTTGGTGGCGGGGCTGGGGGGGTACCTGAAGAGGAAACCAATACAGGAAAGCAGAACAAGAGGTGGAGAAAGATTTCTGACATAACTACTTGTGCACCTGGATTCACGACTTCTCTGGATTTTTAATTATGTAAGCCAGTTTTTTTTTTTAATTAAGCCAGTTTGTAAGTTAATAAATTCCCTCTTTTTTATATTTTAAAAAGAAACTGACTTTCTCTCCCTTGCAAATGAAAAGATTCATAGCTGGTATACCATGGGGCACCATATGCTCTTCAACCGCCTTCCTCTCTAACCAATGACCAGTGTCAGCCTGGCCTCCTCCTCTGCTCTGCAGCTGTCATTATCACGCCTCTTTCCAGGGCCTGATATATAACCTTCATCTGCAAAGTCCAGAAACACCTTTGGGCTTTATTCTAATTATCCTCAACTTCTCTCTATCTACCAGTGCACTGTGCAATGTCATTTTTCAAATGTTGATTCATCCCTGAACACGTTTTAAGTCCATCTGCTTCTTTCATATTTCCCAAAATATGCTTTAAATTTTTAAATTATTTTAAATAGAGACACAGTAAAACATATAGAAATAATTCACAGCAAACATATAAATTAATAAGGTCACTGATGGGGGCTTTGAGATCCATATCCTGCAAATCGGTGATTCTAAAATAGGCAGAGCAAGTAGCTAGTATAGGTTGAGGACTTAGAAGGCCCCCACTTGACCTCCTAACTGTACCACCTCATTTCTATCCTAGCGCCTGTGAAACCACCATTAGTAATTTTACCATTTGATATATATATATATCTACATATATCTATATCTAGATATAGATATACACAATGGAATATCACTCATCCATACAAAAGAATGAAATAATACCATTTGCAGCAACATGGATGGACCTAGAGATTATCATACTAAGCAAAGTAAGTCAGAGAAAGACAAATACCATATGATATCACTTATATATGGAATCTAAAAAATGACACAAATGAACTTATTTACAAACAGAAACAAACTCACATAGAAAACAAACTTATGGTTACAAAAGGGGAAAGGAGGAGGGGGAGGGATAAATTAGGAGTTTGGGATTAACATATACACAATACTATATATAACATAGATAAACAACAAGGTTCTACTGTATAGCACAGGGAACTATATTCAATATCTTGTAATAAACAATAATGAAAAAATATGAAAAATAATATATATATATGTATAACTGAATCACTTGGCTGTACACAAGAAACTAATACAACATTGTAAATCAACTATACTTCAATTTTTAAAAATGAAAATAAAGTAATAATAATCTTGCCATTTGATTTTTAAAAAGTGAGCTGGACAGTAAACACATTGCCCAAGTTTTGCCCACTAAAAATCCAAATTTATGGCATGACATCCATGAGTATATCCATGGGAAAAAAGAGAAAATACGACAGTGTAAGAAAATCCTAGAAAATCCACTCCTCATGGGCTCTGAAAAACACCACCATTCAGTTTCATGTTGCACATGAATAAAATTTTCATTAGGTCAGACTGATACACCTACAGAAGATCGTGATTTTCTACAAAAGATTATAAAACACTGGAATAGGAGTTGAAATAAACTGCTCTGCCTTGCTCAAAAAAAAAATGACATGTGTAAATTTTCCAAGCTTCATTTTCATCATCAAGCCTGTTGACAAGGGACATTATATTATTAGACTTTTATCTCGCTACTCAGAAAGGATGATCGAAGCAGCTTTAATAACAGATCAGTTTCATTAATAAAACCTCTGCTCTACTCCAATTTACATGAGCTTCATTATGAAAAGTAACTGGCCACTCTGAATTTACTGAGGAGTCAGCTAATGCTGAATATAAAAGCACAGAAAGATTTAAGAGGAAGACCTGATTCAAGGTCATATATGTTGTAAAGAAAACTGAGTGATCCTTAAAGGGGGAAAAAAGTTGGGCCTACTTAAAAAGCACTCAACCTGCAATTAAGCTTTAAATTTTGAATAAATAAATGTCTTGCTGGACAGAAAAATCTAGTGCCCCAAACCCAATGGACACAAGAAAATGGTTTTGTGACCTTGTCACTGTCAGACATCAATGTCATAATAATTGAAAACTGGTTACTGGCTGATTTTGTCATCCCTCCTCTTGAACATCCTATTCCAATAACTCATCTAACGTAACTGTCAGAGCTGGGGAGTGATGACAAGGCCCCCATCACAAATCTGTGATACACAGTTACATTTAAAAGGTTCTTATTTCACATGCAATACTGAACAGACGTTTTAAGTGAATAAGATCACTGGAGCTCTCAATTCCAATACAATGTTTCTGACAGCTAGTTCAAAATGCACGTGGGTGAGGGGCTTGGGCTATACATTTTGAAAGAGCAAATGATAAGGTTATAAGATAATACTAGTACTTCTTCTTCCCCAATCACATTATGGAAAAGTGATAGTGAACAACCTTTAGAATTCCCTCCAGTTGAGAGTGTACAAATAAGAAAAGTGAATGTATTCCCTTGCTTGCATTTAGTAGTAAGGCTCAATGATGTATGTTTTGCCCTCATCGTGGAGACTGGAAATTATATATATATATATATATATATATATATATATATATATATATATATATATATATACACACACATATATATATATATATAAAATACCTGAAATGTGTAAATTTTTTATATATTATATATTTAATATATAATATGTGTAATACCTGAAATATGCAAAAATTTAATATATTTTTTATATATTATATATATTTTAGGACAGATT